CACAAAAGCACACATTTCCACGCGCACACACACATTACACGTACGCGCACATGCAAACCACATACATGCTACATGCGCAAGTACTTGCATATAAACGTACACACACACATACACACATACAAACATGCACACATATGTATGCATGCACACATGCACATACACATATACATTCATGGTCGTACATACACTCGTGTTTGCAAACGCACACTCATACACATACACACACAAATGCATAATACACACACGTGCGCCCACACACACAAACAAAAACATATACTTACGTTACTGCTATACTGAATAATTTCCTATAAATTCTGTCTTTTGTTTTTAATATGTTTGCTGTTTTTTGTTTTTCATACTTAACCCTGCCAAATAAGACTAAAACTAAATTTTAGATTTTCGATTCAGAGCAGTTGGTAAGATCTCTGTGATAGAACAATGCAAGCACGCGCATCCACAGTTTTGCATTTGCTTTGAATCACACTTCTTTCGAGCACACACACACACCTTAGACATAGTTGTCGGTATTTTGTCGCCACATACGCAGCTGACAACTTTTCCAGTTGTTCTGACCAGTGGTCCATCGCCTGTTGGTCAGCATGCTGATGATCCTGACATTTGTTTTGTTTTCTGAGAAAATCACTAATTCAGCAGTTTTCTCATGACAGAAGCGTTCAAACTCGTTTCAAGATTCCGTTGGCGCGTGTTGGGCATCACCACCTCATCTTGAACTTTATCACTTCTAGATCACAGTGAGATACCTTATCGACTAGACAAGATGTTTTAAGATGCCGATTTGATTTGCACAGTAATTTAATTATTAGAAAGAATTAGTAGTGTTCGTTCAAAAGTACAGTTATTGTGCTGTGTGCTTTTCTTTCCTCGATATTCTCTCTAAATATCCATAGTTTTCAGAAATGCTGTAAATTTGACAAAATTAACTCAAAATATGAGGTTATCGAGGATGGAATTACATAGTGGAAGAACATGTAGATAACATATTTCATCCCTTAACTGTAAGATTAATTTGAAGATGAATTTTTTAGGGCCAGCCTGGGCATTTATGAGGACTGCTCGAACTTCTTTTCTGGATACTACTGTTTTTACAGCCTTGCCAAATGCTTCTGTCTTAAGTACCATTAAGCTGACAGTTTCTTCAGAAGACGTAGCGAACGTCTGAATCGCCAAGAGGCTGACCGCCAGAGTATTGATCAAAGCAAAAAAGTTACCAGCTGCACTATTAGAGAAAACTATGAATTATAGCTACTTCAAGCACGATTAAATATTTTTGTCATGTTTATAGCAGAACTACTAATTTCTAGAACAAACATTTTTCTTTCCTGTTGTGCTTCTCTGTCTTTCCATGTACACACAAATTCATGTGTATACAAAAACACCATGTTGCACGTTATTTTCAAATAGAATATAAATTCTTAGTTGAGTTTGCA